TTCAAATAATATCCGGAAGAAATGCCACCAAAAATAATTACCGGGACATATTAGGATGCGTATTTTAAAATTTGATTGGTTTTCGATGCCGCGCGGTTTAGTACAGATATTTTTTTAAATTGATAATGAAGGAAAATAAAAGCGACTCAAACTGCAATTTTATATAAGCTAGCTGCTATTTGTTCTCTCTGAGTAAAATAAAAACCTCATGAATAATTTTGTACTATTTTTTGCTGATGGGCATATAACATGAATAAACAGTACTCCGGTCGCTTTTTTCGTATGTATATGGACGTAATGGTTCTTTAAAAAAATAAAATAAGAAGCCGCAAAAAACAGGGCGCGGTACCATAACGTACGAAGTAAACTCATGTACCGTAACTAAACATGTCAATTGCTGTATTGTGATTCATCATACATATACAGTATAAGTTAAAAAAAATTTCAGCAATCGGTCCACCGTGTTTAGTCTAAAAAGCAGCAATTTCAAGTGGTTCAAATCATCACCGCTTTCAGTTCCACCGAGGAAGTTCGCGATGAAGCACATGGAAAAAGATAGCCGACGTTTCGTGTGGAAACTCGTCTTTCTGTGGATCCATGCATGCATCGTGCTGTATAGTACAGTATTGCACTGTGTACAGTTGGTATCGCAGCCGAAGTTTCACAGATAACAGATTCCTTTCTTTCTTATTCTTCTTCCGTCGCAACGCGTATATACGGTTTTCACAATTCACAGCACACGAACGCTCTCGGGATATCACATTCGTTCGACACTCGATCGGCGAATACCTGAACTAGAATATTTTTTTCCTGTAAATCGTTCACAAACCGCGTGCGGATATTCTTTCTTGGCAACATGACCTTGTTGAAGAAAAAAAACACTATGGGGCATAATTCATACGGTAGCTTTGGGTTGACCTTGACTTTTTCGTCAGTATATGTACTGCTGCTGCGATCCTCAGGCAAGAAGTGTTGACGCAGGCGGTGGGAGCGTGGATTTTCGGCACAACAAGAGGTATTTCACCATGGCGCTGTGCACCCCACGAAGGTCAAAGCCATCCCTTTTCCAAGTTCAGGCGGAAAAATCGCTAGGAAATTTTCCACTCGCCCTCCATTCATGAGGTAATGGTATGTTTCCTTCAGGCTGCGAAAATTGTGAGCCACGGAGAAGCGTGATGGTTCGTCCTGAATCAGGTAGACTCTTGTTACTTCAATATTAATCTCTTCTACAACAATTTTCTCTGTTTAACGATTTTTTTGTGGTCCCATATAGGGGTATATTTCCCCATATTGTATGAAGAGGTTTCACCGAAAGTAAATTCTCTGCTGCAACAATTTTTTTCTGACGCGCTATAGTATTCAACCTTTCCCTGATTTTATCAACCGCCCGAAGACTATAGTTCCTGTAACTTCGTCCCGTGGAATGAATCTGCAGCGGATTTTGAACGAGCAAACATCAGCAGTGCTTCAGCTGAAACGATTTACTGGAGGAAGAAAACGCATTACATCAAAGAAAATGTTGTCTATTTATCTTGATAAATGAAAAACCGCATATATAAATACAGATGGACTTTCTGCAACGAAATTCAATAAAAGGGCCCCCAAAAATTGAAAACAGTGCATAGATAATTATGTTGTAGAAAACCCATATTACATGGGTAGACTATAGGTAGAGAACCCGATGGAACCCCAAAAAAGTATATGAAGAAAATCGTTGAACACATAATATCTCTGTCTACAAGAGAGAGTTCACATGTACTTCAAGTTCCAATGCTATCTGGAGTTCCAGCAGAAAATTATTCATTTTTTCATATTTTTGCGTGATGAGACGATCACATCGTTTATAAAATAAACCCGATGCTTACAAATTCATCACTGCTGATTTTTGATTCGCCGTTCTATGTACATTACACTGATTAGCCTATGTGGGATTCTTCGAAAACGCCTTATAGGCTAAAATTGGAGCTTTTGTGGGGGAGAAAATAACTTAAGATAATTGAGCTGACGAAATCTGAGCAGCTCGTCCTACATAAATGAGACGAATAAAATAATGGAATTTTTTACTTTTTTGGTTGGATTCTTTGAGTTCTATTAGAGAGAGAGAGTTAAAATTTTCTGGTACAGTACTGTATGTTATTGAACGCGGGATTTAATAGAAGAAGCAAAGCTGGAAAGTCATATTTGATGCAGAGTAATTTATAGATATTTTTGCATTTATATTGGGATAACTTCATATTATTGTACGAGTATGTCGGGCGGATTGAGTAATCAATGCGCCGTAGAGCAAACTTTTCAGTTGCGAATATTTTCAAAAGTTTAAAATAATTGACGCACATATTCTGCCTCCGTTATATTAGGTACAAGGTCTCGATGTTGAAGACAGCTTTCTATACAGAAGTTCTCTCAATAACGCTTCACTTTCTTCGAAAGTAATCATGACGCGCGAGGGATTCTAAATAACACAAATATGCATCCATTCACCAAATCACCACCATACAATTGACTAACAACTCTCTGGTCTGAAATATTCAATTTTTGGAAATGTTGAAAAATAATGATGATACCCTCACTTCCTTGCTAATAGACAAAGGGACCGGCTTCAATCCATCTTAGTCCCACTTCTATTTTACCACCAAACGCGCGAAAAAAATGTCTTCAAATAATAGTAGCCAGACAAATTTCCTTACATTTGGAAAATATCAATGTGCCAAAAAAGGAAATTCATTATAACGTTGCTGGGACACGCGATGATGAGTTGCAAACTAAACCCGCTGTGAACATTCACTTCGCAACACTACGCAGAACAATTTGAGGAGAATTCTGCTAAAATGACTTCGCAGCACCTTCTCTACGTATTCCCAGGCGCGCTTCTCCGACAGCACGACATTTTGCTGCTGCTGAGATGTATTCGAGCTATGAACGTCTCAAAAGAAGTTCCTGAGCCCAAAGCAGGATATATACGCGTATATCCTGTAGACCCGTATATATCACAACAAGTGTTGTGAAATACAAGACTAAAGGTCGACATCTTGGATGTGCAGTATATATATGTGTGTCATGGTGCAAACAGCATGTCCGCTCGTTCTATACAGACCTATCCTCCTGTATATATACTGTATATATGTTCTCATCGACAGTACGACACTGCTGCAAGTCACTGATGGATCCTGAGCAGCAACTCTGACGATAAGGAACGCGATGCGATCGAGGTCGCACTATAGCTGTGATGCAATCATCATATGATGTTCGTCGCAGGCCCACGTTGTTTTCATTTGTCACTTTGTTTTTTAGCGTAAAAATTAATGAGAAAAAAAAACTAGATCAATGGGTGTGCTATGCTTTCGAACTGTTCCTGATTTATAGAACCTCTGCACTCATAGGTTTCGTTCATATAAACTGTATGCTGTTCCTCAAGGGAATCATAATAAGATGATACTGCTAAAGTTAATTATATTGTCGCGCTTTTATATATACAGCATGCTTTCTACACTGTATAGAACCTCCTTCAGTCGAACTTCAAGGGGCCAGCAAAAAAAAATCGAGTTACAGTATGTAATAGGGAGGTTTCGAGTTCGGGAAACAAGCATTTGTGTTTGGGAAAAGGAAGAAGAAGAATCAAGAAATTGCAATTGGTGATATTCTATAGGCCTTTTATTTCTTCTTGAATAATGATTCGAGAAGATGCTGAACCAGTAGGCAAGGGTTCATTTTTCCTACTATGGTCTTTCATTTCCTTCCGAAACACGAAGTTGAATTTATTCTGTTTCTCTCTCCTGTACTGCTGTCAATAGAATAATTTCCAAAAGGCCTCCCGAAAATTCAAATTATGGAGGTTTCAGGCAGAGAGCCGTTCAGTCGTGGAGGCTTTTGATGCGTTGTCTATGTGGGAATGCAGATTTGGACTTGGAACAATAATAAATTCGACACAGTGAGGTATTCGATTCATGGAGGTTTCGAGCTATTATAATTGAGGTTTAAATGAAGCATCACACGTATATTCGCTAGTATAGTTTTTCCTTGCACCGTCCACAATCAGGCGAATTCTGCTCATACCCAGGTAATCGTCGAGATTGCTTGCCGAACAGATCGACGTAAAGCATTCGACTGGAGTGTACATACACACTGTCTGCATGCGTGTGGCTGCATTGAGCTCAGCTGTTCGTAACGCAGGTGTGCAGAAGGGGGAAGTCTATCGCCGATCAGCTGCGGGTAACGCGCCACGACATGAGCGCTTGGTATCAAAGAGTCTGCGAGTGCCGCCACCAACTAATTTTTGCAGAGCATTTGTCTATTTGTTTTGAGCAATAGAGTCGAAGGTGCATGGAAAGCGAATTAAATTGTTGCTGTTCTCATCGTAAAATTTTCTTATGCTGTCAAAATGTATGGAAAATGTGTATCCTATATTGGAATACTTGAAGCACATGGCCGCGCCAATTCGTGCATGTGGTAGGCCTGTTGAATAGAAATAATTTCTATAACAAAAAAATAAAGTTATCCAATAATTGAAGGTGTAAAATTTGAGAAAACTCGTGCGATTTGGTTTGGGAATGGTTTTATTATTTTCGTTGTACGTTCTCATTTTATTAGCGTCGTGAAATGAGTCGTAACATGTCATTGAAAGGCTAGTGAAAGTTCAACCTCTGAATTGATGGTGCGGTCTTGCGATAAAATAATTTTAATTCTTCATGTATATGTACAATTTGAGAAGATGTTCGTGTTGCCCGAGTTTTTTGAAAATTCAAGTGGCAAGTATCCGTGTTCTAAGATAGAGATAGCCTGCGTTAAATATTCATTTACTTAGTAAAGAAAGAATTCTGAATTAATTGCATATCATCACATTCTTGATCAGATTTAAGTTTTTTTTTCAAAAAATTAGCAATTTTCAGCCGTTGACGCGGGAATTTCTTTGCAATAACTCCATGTGAATGTTTCACGCGTATAAAAATCGTGCGAGGGGTGTGGAAGATCTTGATGAGAATTCGTGTTCTTGCATGCATTTTAGTACATGACGTCTCGAAAAGTCCGCAGTGTTGGAATTTAGAGAATCTGTGCACTCAGTCTCCGGGGTTTATGACCCAGTGAGGAGATGAATGTTTTCCTGACCAGAAACGTGCAAGGTTCTACTTGAATGCCAAGGAAAGCCTTGCTCAAGGTGTGTATTTTTAGCAATTGTTTTCGGTTGCATGCATTTATCCGTATTAAATAATTGATTTCGGGGTTTTCTGCATATTTTCAGAAATGAGCTTCTACCTGGGTTTCTATCATCCTTTCGATGGTGGTCTCTTGGGGCTTTGTGAAATATGTGGCGCTGCTGTGATCCCTTCTGCATTGAAGCGTCATGTTGGTGAGTTTCATGAGATTTTTCATCGTAATTCCGTCGATTTCGAATTTATATCTGCATCGTAGAACAACGTCATTCCGAGCAATCGCTTAAACCGGCTTCTACTGATCGGAATGAAGCAGTCAAACCGAAGAAACCGACTGAAACTGCTGGGAATAAAAGAAATCGTCAGCCGAAGGTGTCATTGAAGAAGTTGAACGCTGGACCTCCGTGGAATATTGAGGAAAAATCGACAGGAAAGTCAGTTCCTATAGAGGCTCCTAGCCCGAAGCCTCGAGCAGCACCTGGACCAAAATCATCTAAAGCTTACGTAAAACGGCGGCGGAATAAGAAAGCGGATGTGGTGTCGGTGCCATTCCCTGTTCCTCTGCCTCCAGAAAGCCTCCCCAATCCGATTGTTGCTATTCCGAAGTTGGAAAATGTTGATTTAGGGGATGGATGGGGCTCAAGAGTAGGCTACGATGGAAGATTGTCGCAAGCGATCGAATCCGCTGATGACGCTCGACGTGGTAAAGGATCTTTATCTGATCTCATCCAGTCCTCGGAACCAGATTCGAGAAAATTGCCGTTCAATCGAACTGGTGGGAGAATATCTACGATCGGGGCTCCGAAGAAGTATAACACACCTGCATTTGTTCCGTTTCGCTTGAAGCCTCCTGTTTCCAGCGATAAAGTTCGCGATGTTATTGTGAGTATTAGAATCTCTTAATACTTCGTTAGGTTCTCATTTGAAGCTTTTCATATTCATCAGTTCGACGATGCAGACTTGGATGAAGATGATGATGAGAATCTCATCCGACTGATGAAAGATGTGAAGCATATGCAAATACAGTTTCAAGATTCCCCGGGAAAGTCAAGTTCTTCATGCCCAAAGGTTGCTTTGTGCCAGACTCCCGTCAGAAATCCCCTCTCTTCCTCGTTGCACCTGAAGCCTCAGTCAACATGTGAGGATGCGGTTTTCCCGAATGGCCAAGTGAACTATCCTCTTGGATTCCCCGCAACGAGTGCAGACTTTCCCGGTCCTGAAAATGGCAAGGAAATGCACGGTCATCGTCCCTTCACGATACTCGATTTCGACGGGAACCAATGTGATCAAGTACAACGTCAAAGTCTGAGTCCAACCAGTTCTCCACCTCATCTTCTACCTCATCCGAATTCCTGGTCAAATCCTCCCCAGGTTAGTTATTGTGCGATAATCCAGACAAATTTGTTCTCTGTAATGCGCGAAATGTGATACAAACTATGGTTAATCTTGTGAAGAGTGCAGTTTATCATGTTCTGAATACTATGAATGCATTTCCAGCTCCACGCATACGGGCTATTTCGAGATGGACCCGCTTTTTTCGACGGACATCACAAGTTCTATAGGATGCGTAAGAAGTGGCGAAAATCAATGGAATCTATGAAGGAATTGTCTAAGAAGGTTAAGAAGAAAGTCGATCTTCCAGGTGGAGCTAGTTTTCAGTTTACCTCAGCCGTGAATCGAGACACAGCTGATGATAATTTGAGTCTTGATTCGATTGACGGAGTGTCATTCGGTGAAGGTCCTGGTCCTTCATCTAGCCTAGAGAGGAGAGCGATAAAACGGGAGAACGATTTCTCTAACGGTTTCTCGGATGGTATCTGTGATCCTTCAGCCCCGGCTGAGCTGCTCAATTCAATGATCAGCGCGGCGAAGAAACCAAAACTTTCCGAGTCGGATAATGCAGTAGAACCACAACCAACCATGAGCATGGTCTCAAACGGGTGTATCATACCTCCTGAAGAACCCAATGGACGTACAATATCTGGACCTGCTCTGACTGCCACTGTAGAATATTCCGGGGGTCGGGCCGTACGGTTAAACCCCGGGGATGACGCTGCGCAAGTGCAGTACTCGAGTGATAGCTTGCACGAGGCTTTGCTGAGCTCAGCGAGGTTGGCGGGAAGATTTTTTCGTGGGCCGTTACTGGCTGAAGACGCGTTGTCGTCCAGATCCCACCCGCCAGCAGGACCAAGTACCTCGAATACGGACACCCGCTTCTCCATACCGAATGATTTACAGTGCAGCGATTACGTCGTTGGAGAACATTTCAGTGATCAACAAGCGATCCTCAATTGATATCATATGTGTAACCTTGTGAGTAGGAGGAGGTTTTACTTCTCATTTTTCGTATTTTCGATTAATGCGGTGGGCTACGAAGAAGTAGTCCTCTGGCGTGACTTGAACGAGTAAGTCGATTATTTTGAATAAAAATAAATAAATGCAGTACTTTATATTCTGAAAGTCAAGTCCATTCTTTTGCATTGGAGTACAGTATTTTACACATTTGTTAAATGGGTGATGAAGCAAAAACAATCGTCTTCCTCTTTCCTGTCTTCATAGAAGAAGATTATCGTGAAAATTGCCTATAACGCTTAAGAATAGCTAAATCTAACGCATCTGAATGACCAAGTTGATCTCTTTCAAGTCGTAAATGAAATGTATTCCACGATGGATTTGATCGTTTCTTGCGTGACCTACTCCGCGTTCATTGTGGTTCATATTTGGTGCTTTCTTGTTGAAATTCCTGCGTTTCGTAATTTTCTGCGCAATTTTTAATTACAGGTGGAACTGTCGAGATGCAACTTGGATCCTCTTACACGTGCTTTTACAGTGGAGATTGATAGCGGTCAGATCGGGTCCTGGAAAACAACTGCTGGTTTACGATCAGTTTTTGCACGTCAGGATATCAGTGCATTGTAGTTCCTACTGAACCGTTATTGAATTTTTCTCTTCATTCTTAACTCTGATGAAAATCTTCGGAACTTCTTATGAGTACTGTAGTCTCATCTTACCCTTCTGTTCTAATGATACTTGCTGGTTATTTTTTCATATTCTGCGCTGTTTTGAGGGAGTAAGAGCCAGAATCGCTATAAAATATAAAATGTGTGGAATTTTCGGAAGAGTGGGTGCGGATTTCCGCAAACGTTTCAAGTTGGAAAAATTGGTACTGTGGAGGAAATCGTATTTTTTCCACAATAAAATCGAATGATATTCGAGTCTTGCGCCAGCCGTGTAGTTGTGATTTGATTGTCATTGCTGTCATGTTCTTACTCCAACAAATGTGACATTGGTGGATATTCTTCAGTTACAGGTCTTAAATTGATAATTTTATCGGTTAGTGACTGACGCTCATAGTGCTGCGATGGTCGAGTTCTACCGAGTCCTTGGATTGGAAAAGAATTGTACCGCGCAAGATATCAAAAAAGCGTTAGTATTCGTTGTTCCGCTTGTTCAAGATCGAGAATTGATTCCATCCGTCTCTCCAGGTACCGCAAACTTGCCCTAAAATGGCATCCGGACAAAAATCCCAGCAACCAAGAAGAAGCCAATCGTCGATTTAAAGAAATCTCAGAAGCATATGAAGTTCTCTCGGATGGTAAGTATACATGACTTTCAGAAATTATTTTAACGAAGGTTTTGAGTAAGAGTGTCGGAATGAATTTGAAGAATCTAGGCGAAAAAGCTATGATTTGCGTGGTTCTCGGGACAAGGGCGAGAAACTGAGAAGACGACAGACCTTCAGCTTTCCCTTCTCTCCTTCGTTTCGTCGTTACTATGGTGCGGGATTAAACGTGATTGTCATGGGCATGATTCTTATTAAGCGTGTTGTTTCAGTGGGTTTACTAAACCTTGCCCAGTCGTCTTTTTCCGAAAGCAAATGCTGGTGTCATGAATGCTTTGAAGATATTTTTTTGCTAGGTCTTTTTGATGCTTGCTTTGATGAGCCCCTCTCCCCTCCGCAGTTCGGGAAATAACTGAAACTTTTTGTAGTTGTCCTTGACTTTTCCCCGTGCACGTACGATGTATGTTGGCATTTTCTCTTGGCATTCATTGAGTCTCACTTATTTTCACAGACAAGAAGAGAAGAATTTATGATCAGTATGGTAAAGATGGCCTCAAGGATCACCACGATCGCGGACATGCTAGTCACAGCTACGGATATGAGGATCATGATCCATTTGCCGACCTCTTCGGTTCGTCCTTCCATTTCACGGATCCATTCAAGTTGTTCGAGGACTTCTTCCATGGAGACCCATTAGCTGGTCATTTAGGCAAGTCTTCTTAATTGCTCTCGCCGTTTATCACGAAATCAGGAGGTTGAAACCTGAACTTTTTCGATGCTTACCTTATGAATTAAAAGTTGAAATGGATTCTTGATATGACGACGACACTCATGGAGCTACGGAACAAATAATCTAAGAAATTCGTTCACACAGAAGCCGACTGTTTGAAGACAATGACAATCACCACCGATCAAAGCTTCACTCTCCGTAAAATTTTCGTTTACGATGGTATTCTTCATAGAAATACTTTGTCTCTGGTCACAACAGATAGCACCTCCACAACGGTATCGTCTCCACAAAAACATATAATCTATTTCTAGAAGGTTTCACAGGAGTAAAAAAAACATTCGTTGTATGGAAACTTGTACTGTAAAGGTGACTTCGTGCTGGATTTCGTTGGACTACAGCGTGGATCATCATTCGTAAAGGTGACTTCGTGCAGGATTTCGGTGGACAACAGCTTGCATGATCATTCCAGCTAATTTCTCAAGAATTCCGTTCTTTATATGTATGAAATGAAGGCGTGTATCTCCATCGGGAGTTGAAATTCAATCTTGGAATAATTTTCAGGAAAATAATTCAAAACTTGGGTCACGGAATTCAAGTGTGTAAGATAGCATGTTATTACAAGTTCTTATGTTTAAATGATGAATCCATTGCTTTTCAGTTGCCCAATTTTACAGACTATGAGTATTTGTTTATTGCTGGATGTTGTACACATTAAAGAGGGCTTCCATCAATTTAAAACAATATTTATCTTTTGATAGGGTCACATTTTGGACGTCATCAGAGCCGTTCACGACCTGGGACCAAAAGTGGTTCCCGCTCGCATCACGAACTTAGCACCAATTTTTCACCTTTTTTCGACTTGTTCGCTGGCTTCGGTTCAGATCCGTTCGGATCTACTGGGATGAGTTCAAACCCAGGATATGTCGATCTCACCACTTTCTCCTCATCGTCGGGAGGTGGCGGGGTATCAAAACGTACTACAACGTCTACCAAATATGTGAATGGTGTAAAAATACAGACGAAGAAGTGAGTTGCCGATTGTGAGGGAAAAACAAATATTTTTCACTGGCTCTATTTTTTATTTTGCAGAGTGACCGAGAACGGGATTGAAACCGTAATGGTTTACGAGAATGACTCATTGAAGTCGAAAACCATCAACGGCAAGCCGCAACCTATTGGACGTTAAATGAAGACTTGCGCCGCTTTGTTTGTAACATCTTATTGACAAATCAACTCTAAATAAGCTTTCTTGCGCTTCTATGTCTGCTCAATTCCTTGAATAAGTTAATCTGGTTGTATCAAGAAACCTTTAACCTCGACGTTGACCTCTTTCCCAAAACTTGCTGTGGTCTCTCTAGGAAAGGGTTATCAGGTTCACCGAACGTCTTATGTTATCCAATGTTCTTTCGACAGGCGGCCCCTAACGCTCAATGTTCAAGATATGTTTCATTGTGAGGCCGTTAGTGCTTTGCATGTTGTGAAAATTTAGGAAATGTGTTCTCTGTATCTTCGTGTTTTTTATCCTTTTGCGCAATGACCAGGTGTTCGCCTCAGTTCATCGTTTGCCAAGCTTCTTCGTGTGTGGAAGAGATTCCGACGTGACACATTTCTCTCATTTTGCCGATGAAACGGGACTCAGTTGGTTTGTGAGCGAACTAGATCGCCGTTCAAAACCTTTCCAAATTGTTTTCGTCGAATGACTGAAATTCCCCATGGCGTGTTGAGAGTTATTGTCGTTCCCTGTCAGTTCGTGGGCCAGTCAGTTATTTTGTTCGGAATGAGACCTTCTTCCATCGCTTTATGTTCCTTTCTTTTTTATCGAAGTTTATTTTCCTCTGGTCTTTCCAAGCCCGTTTTCCAATGAGAGTACCATGTAGGTTAAACCCGTTCTGTGATCGCGGATATTTTGTTGTGTGGATGAACGGTTTGAGGATGGGTACGATAGTTCAGTTTTCCTGAATTGTCTCCTGTGCGTTTGGTCTGTTGATCGAGCACGTTTTAATCACCTCTGAATGCATGAGAAATTCGTTGATGAGCCACGAGGTTTGAAGTTGGAACTTTGAAGACTCGCGGAGTTCGTGAAATCCTGTCGGGGGGCTGAATCGTGTGAACTGCATGATTAATGACTGTTCGCGAGTTTTTTTCTTTTTTTTTATTTTTTAATGGGTTAATCGATTGTAACCAACTTGATCGTGCAACATCCTGAAATACTCGAATACAGCTAAGTAAGATGCTCCTATATGCAGATATTCCGCGCTCCTTAGCTTTGACCCACTTTATATCCGACTTTTGTTTCAGGATGGTAGAATGTAAGAACTGCTCCTCTATTAGAAGAACATATGCATAATGTCTAGATGAATTACATGCGAGTGCATTCCATCATTTAAAAACATTTAATAAGCTAGGAATCGTCCTTTCTCCGTATATGCCCCCCCCCCCCTTCCCCCTACAATGGCTCGATTTGCTGAAGGGACCAGCAGGAGCGAACGTACCTAGTCATTCCTTGTAATTCCTCTGTCTTATAGTTTCGGAAAAGTTTAGTGTCTTACCTGTGCACGAAAGGAAGTGTACATTTTTCTTATACTTTTTCATCTCGTGAAGAGGGAATAATTTGTAAAATACGAGAATCGATGCTTGCGTATTTGTCCTTTTGCTGATTTTGATGCAAGCGTGTGATTGACTGCAAATGAATACGTATGGGTATTTGAGGAAGTGAACCGAAGATCAACTTTTTTTGAGTAGAATTATCATGACGCGGTACTATGATTTAAGTAAATAAAAATGAAGATAAACCCATAGAAGAATTTTGTTCTCAACTTCTTTCTTTTTTTTTATTCTGCAGGTATCGCGTTTGTCAAGTGTTCCGGAAATGGAGGTTGAATGAGCATCGCACATAGAAGTGTAAATCCCAGATTTTTCTGTCGAATTAAATGAAAGGTGGAAAGCTTCCAATTTTTTCCAGTGACGAAACCCTAATTGTACGAGTGAAACTGGTTTTTCTTGAGTTTTAATTTCCCTTGGAATGGGATCTACATTCTCGTCACGAATATTTCGTGAACCATGTCGAGACGATGTGCTTCTGCGGTTGAGCAGGATTGCATTTCCCCTGCCCTTTAAAAAGGGAAACTTCCAGGATGAGGTACACATTTTAGTAGGATCGAGTTTCCGTTTTTCCATCATCAAGCGTGTGAAATCCTTGATCTGAGGATATTCTATATCATCGTGTAGATGTCGCCCAATGCTACGCGTCAGTAAGTCGGTGTGGATTCTTTTCTATACTTTTGAGGATAGTTGGTTATATTGGTAATAAAGATAGATTTTCTCCGCAATAAAATTCAAGGGACCAGATAAAAAATTGTCGGGGACAGAGAACCCCTATAGTTTTTGAAGAACCCTGTGGGACCACCAAAAATATTTGGAATACAGTGCAAACGAAATTTTTGTACACAAGTTTGTTGTGAAGAGAGTCCACCTGTACTCCCTTTGCAACTATTTTCTCTGTCTAAAAAAAAAATTCTGGTCCTATGGGGTTCTCTTTAACAAAATTCTCCCTTCATCAAATTTTGATGAAGGGAGTTCATCAAAAAATCGGGTTTCATCACTGGTCCCCGGAATTGCATGGTAGAGGAAGTCCAGGTGTAAACTACAATATTTGGTTAGGTTCATGACAAGAGGGACATTCGCTTCATATTTTGGGAAGACAATTTGGGTTGCAATGCGAATATTTTACTGTATTTCAACAATGAAAGGTAACATCCTGAATTAGGGCAACCTTTTTTTTTCGAAACGTATACGTTACTTGGGAGAAAATTGCGTTGCATGTTGTGAACCATTTGCAATTGCCCCTCTGTTATTTGGCAGCGGAATGGACAAAATATGCTGCAGCAATTGACCAACCCTGGAAATACAGTACAAAGAAATCCAACCCTTAATTACCTTTATTATTCTCACTTCAGCACATCTATGTATTGGACTGAAAACCTTGTCTTCACCTACAACTTTTTGGATATTTTTAATGAACACTTTATGGCGCCATGATATTGTTGAAAAGGAAACAGAACCATAAATAAATAAATTTAAAATAACATTTATCTAAGGAAATATCAACTCTTCATCTTCAATGGTTTTAAAATATGCGTATGTTTTGATAAGTACTTACAGTAAACGCGTCTCAATTAATTGGGGATACATGTTCGATCAAAATGTATGGTCAGAAGTGTCAGAACCCCTGGTGTGATGGTGGCTATCTTGCCACAAAGCGCGTTTTACTTGAGTAAGTACAGTACTGTAATGTGATTGTGCATGAGTTTGCTTCCTATCCAATCCTGTATCACGATTCAAAAAGCTATGTGAGTCCAACTCTTTCAATTGTCACTATGTACAGTTATTCATACTAAACCTGAAAAATGCACCTTATTTTTTGCTAGTCTGTTTATACACTATACGGTATTCGAGCTGAAGAAACACAAGTTATCTTTTCGTATACTGCAAATACATACCTACTGTATTTATTTACCAAGCACCACGTGCACATTTTTTCTGCGAAATCGATCGCAGAAAAGTGGGTTCGCGTGATATGAGGGTCTACGTCTTTTGAAGCAATAAATCATGAAATTAGGATTACAAGCCGTATAAGTGATTCTTTGTATAGGTGCCAAAATTGAACAGAGAATTCTGTTGGGCACAATCCAGTTCAAAATGCTCTATGTTATTAGATTAATTCATAGGATATTTTGTTCAGCATTCTTATTTTAAATTTTTTTATTGAAACCATGTAAATTTGGGGTACGCGTTTTTGGTGGGGTTACAGCATCTGTGGGGAAATTTTATGCCAAAAAAAAGAGAAGGCGCGCGTCTCAAGTAAATAATACGGTATTTACTGTGTTAGATCGTATATCTTCTGAAAATTGTCACTGCTGTTCATATTGTTCCGGTTGAAAAACTGTGGTCAATCGCAAATTTTTAAATCTTTAAACATCAGCTGAATAGCTCAATTAATTGAAATTTTTGAAATTTGGTTGGCCCCTGCTTATACGGTGCGCGCGGTTCCGGGAAAAGCCGCTGTGTTTTGAAGTCCATTGTTGTATTACGAAAGGCTGAATCAAGAAAACAAAAATGACACCTGTATAATTGCCTATCCCATTTATTATGCGGAGCAAGACACAGCTTACCCTAACTGTATAAACCGTTATCGGAGTGAAGTGCACACGGTGTATACGCAAATGTAATGGTGACCCGCCTTTTAATGGGTAATGTTGGAAATATATTTCTATTTAATTAACTTGGGTGCACCTAAATTGAGCGCGTGTTCTGATGACCACAGAGACTTAAAAACTCCAGTTTGCTTTCGCATTGCGAGCACTTTTCATGCCCCCCCCCACCTCAGGTTCTATTCTCCCTTTTTATGCCTTTTTGCACGTCAATACAAACCACAACAGCATTGGATTTTTTGTCCTTCTCTTATTATCTTAGCAGTCAGATTAACTAAATTATGCAAAGACGCGTTTGTGGTGCTCTGCTGCAGCTGTTGACTGCTGAATACGGCGCACTGCAATACAGTACTTGGAAGAAAACTGTCGTTGAACCCAGTCCTCACCTGGCTTTTTAGTATGCATCATGAACAGCCAAAAATGGAAAACGTTACTGCGAGTGATAATTTTTTGAAGCGAACAATATCTCTCCAGGTACTTCCTAACTAAAACTGAAAAAATGAAGTACAAATACGAGGTACTCTTTCATTCAAGTTTCATTCATTAATTTTTCGATTTCAATCTGATACAAACATGGAAACGATCGCCGGAATTATAATCGTGTGGCGTTTTCATGTGTTGCTAAGTATACCGCGAATGAATATATTTTAGAGTCCGTCGAATCGTCGTTTATTTTCAAGTTTCTTTCAGCTCAAAAATGTATGGTCAGAAGTGTCAGAACCCCTGGTGTGATGGTGGCTATCTTGCCACAAAGCGCGTTTTACTTGAGTAAGTACAGTACTGTAATGTGATTGTGCATGAGTTTGCTTCCTATCCAATCCCGTATCACGATTCAAAAAGCTATGTGAGTCCAACTCTTTCAATTGTCACTATGTACAGTAATTCATACTAAACCTGAAAAATGCACCTTATTTTTTGCTAGTCTGTTTATACACCATACGGTATTCGAGCTGAAGAAACACAAGTTATCTTTTCGTATACTGCAAATACATACCTACTGTATTTATTTACCAAGCACCACGTGCACATTTTTTCTGCGAAATTGATCGCAGAAAAGTGGGTTCGCGTGATATGAGGGTCTACGTTTTTTGAAGCAATAAATCATGAAATTAGGATTACAAGCCGTAAGTGATTCTTTGTATAGGTGCCAAAATTGAACAGAGAATTCTGTTGGGCACAATCCAGTTCAAAATGCTCTATATGTTATTAGATTAATTCATAGGATATTTTGTTCAGCATTCTTATTTTAATTTTTTTCTTATTGAAACCATGTAAATTTGGGGTACGCGTTTTTTGTGGGTATACAGCATCTTTGGGGAAATTTTATGCCAAAAAAGAGAAGACGCGCGTCTCAAGTAAATAATACGGTATATACTGTGTTATATCGTATATCTTCTGAACATTGTTACTGCTGTTCATATTGTCCCGGTTGAAAAACTGTGGTCAATCGCGAATTTTTAAATCTTTAAACATCAGCTGAATAGCTCAATTAATTGAAATTTTTGAAAATTGGATGGCCCCTGCTTATACGGTGCACGCGGTTCCGGGAAAAGCCGCTGTGTTTTGAAGTCCATTGTTGTATTACGAAAGGCTGAATCAAGAAAACAAAAATGACACCTGTATAATTGCCTATCCAATTTATTATGCGGAGCAAGACACAGCTTACCTTAACTGTATAAACCGTTATCGGAGTGAAGTGCACACGGTGTATACGCAAATGTAATGGTGACCCGCCTTTTAAAGGGTAATGTTGAAAATATCTTTCTATTTAATTAACTTGGGTGCAGCTAAATTGAGCGCGTGTTCTGATGACCACAGAGACTTAAAAACTCCAGTTTGCTTTCGCATTGCGAGCACTTTTCATGCCCCCCCCCCCTCAGGTTCTATTCTCCCTTTTTATGCCTTTTTGCACGTCAATACAAACCACAACAGCATTGGGTTTTTTGTCCTTGTCTTATTATCTTAGCAGTCAGATTAACTAAATTATGCAAAGTCGCGTTTGTGGTGCTCTGCTGCAGCTGTTGACTGCTGAATACGGCGCACTGCGATACAGTACTTGAAAGAAAACTGTCGTTGAACCCAGTCCTCACCTGGCTTTTTAGTATGCATCATGAACAGCCAAAAATGGAAAACGTTACTGCGAGTGATAATTTTTTTGAAGCGAACAATATCTCTCCAGGTACTGCCAAACTAAAACTGAAAAAATGAAGTACAAATACGAGGTACTCTTTC